CCAGAGCCGTGGGTGAACTTGCTAAGGATCCCACTGCCTGCCCAAGCAGCTGTGATGAGGTCAGAACCCCACAGGATCCTGGAAAAGCAGCCAGGAATCCACCTCTTTTTCCCTGAAGCCAAGCCTTGGGGTAGAGCACAGATTCTGGCTTTCTCTTCAAACAAAATATTTTACTGAATTTCTTGCCCATTAAGTGGCTCTTGGTCTGCAAAGTCTGTTAGGCTTCGGTCCAGGCCTGGGCAAGATGCATGGATCGGCTGCTCCAAATGCTCTGTCCCACTCTGGCCCTGTGATTTTATAACCATCGTTTTCTATAAAGAGTTACACTTATTAAAATGTTCCATTTTTTGGTATATTTTTACCTCCAAGAAGCACAATGCAACTTTTTGTATAGCCTTCTGTTTATCTCTGGAAAATGGTGCCAGTGAGAAAGCATATCTTTTATTTTAATTCGATGTTAGAAAAGATTGCAATACATAGTGCTCCAGCACCTGGAGCAGACATTTACATGTCTCTAACAAGGCCAGGTGCATAACTAACCTGGGTACTTAGCCTAACTGAGGCAGGCTGGGTTCCTGAGAGGTCTGCTGAGGCTGGGCCAGCCAGTTTAGCTCCTGGCATAGAACAAAGGGCAGGTATCTTCAGGACAGAAGCCTGAAACAGCAGTCCCACACAGCTCAAAGCCAATAGGAAATTACTGGAAAATCTTGGGTATAAGATAAAAGCCACGCTGTGATCTTCACCCTTCATTTTTTTTTGACCTGGGATAGATCTCGGGACCTTGCACTTGCAAGGCAGGTGGAGGAACCACTGAACTAAATCCCTGGCCCCTTCACTGTCCTCTTTAATAAAGCTGTACTGTTAGAATGTGGACCTCAGCATGCAAGACAGCCAGGTCCTAAGTTAGAGTGGCCACTTCACTCCGATGTGCTGGTGACTCTTCTGATTTGACATTAAAAAGCCATGCCCTGGGGAAGTCTGCCACTTAGGGCCATCCAGGACAGCTGGCACTTAGGAGTCCACCTGCAGAGGAGGGGAGTAAGTAAGGCTGCTTGACCCTGTAGACCAACAGTGAAGGTAGTGGTCTCCCAGAGGGACCCCCACAGAAGGAGGAGAGGATGCTGGGAAGAAAAAAGCACAGAGTGGTATTCTACCCCTTCAGCCTTCTAGATTCAAGGTGCTTTGAGGACAGAGACAGAATCTTACTTATTTTTGTATCTTTTTTTTTTTCTGGTACCAGGAATTAAACTCAGGATGTTGAGCTTGCCAGGCAGGCACAGTGCCACTGAGCTAAGTCCCCAACCCTTTTATCTTTTGAAAAAGTTAGCAATTTGCCCTCTATAGAGATGAGCTTCAAAAAAATTTTTGTACTGTTTTTTTCCTTTTATAAAATCTCTGGAAAAAAATCTCTTAGAGTGAAGAATGTGTAACAGTAAATAGTACAGGGTGTATTATATAGGATCATCTGAACAATTTTTAAAAGTAGTGTAATCTTAAACTTACTTAATTGTGATTACTCAAACATAATGTTGCTGAAAATAGAGTAGGTGAAGAGCTTCAAATTTCAAAATCACCAACGTGCTAGGATTCATAAGGTCCTTTCCCCTCACATATATATAAGATGAAGCCTGCATTACATTTCTTCACAGGTAATATATATTAAAAAGTGAAGCTTAAAATACTTTCCTAGTGATTTGAAATTCCATTCTTTAGTTTCAGTTTTGTGGTTGTTTAATTACAACTGGGCACTGGGAACAAACTATTTTTCTTTGGGAAGGGTGTGGCTTTTGCTCTGAAAGCTTTTTCCTGTAGCTGCTAACTGACCTAACTCCTACCAACAATATGTCACAATGAGGAGTGTCGGAAAGAACTAGCTGCATTAAGAGGTGTGTCATTAACTTTGAAAACAGAATAAAAATTTTAAAATATTGTTAATGAATAAATACTAAATCTAAGTTCTAGTTTGTGAGAGGAAAAGAAACTACCTCTACTTCCAAATTTGACATTCCCATGGTTATGAAGACTCTAGAGGGGCTAGTTTGCATGAATTTAGCCAAGTCAGTTCATTCATTTTTAAGGAACACATTCAGACTATTGCTTCTAACTCACTTCAGTCTCTAAGGCAGAGTGGGTTTAAAGCCTCTCCATATAAAATTCCCTTTTCAAAAGCTGAAAGGATGTTATAGGTGAAAGCTATTATTTTGTCTACCTAAATAACACAATATTTATATATAAACATCACCATAGAAATGTGACTTTTGCCGTCCCATTTTGTCATACATTTCTAGAAGGACTCTAGTGGACTTTGTGTAGGGTTCTCAGGACCCCTTCCATCTCATTCCCATTTAGAAAAAAACTTGGTGTTTGGGAAAAAATACTTCCTCTCCACTGCTCTGCACAAAGTGTGAATGGAATTATTGGTAATTTCATTTTTTTGTTGGCTTAGATTCAGGCAAGTGACACTATTCTAGCCAAAGTGATCATGGGGTTGGTTGCTTTGGTTGCTGGAAGTTTCAGAGGGAGAAAAAAAACAACCCTGCAAGTCACTTCTAGCACCCAGTGGGTGTGGTTTCTTTTCGGTTGGTAGTTATCTTTGCCACTAAAGGAACCAGAAGCCAACTGTAGTAGTAAGAGCTGAGTGGAAAGCTAGAAAGAACTCAGAACACAATCAACATTGTTGAGTTGCTAATTCAACTAGCCCTGAAGTCTGTCCTGCTCTGGATTCTGTGATTCACAAGACCACACATATCCTTTTTCCTCATGTCTATTTGAAACAAATTTCAATGATCGTTGAAATTTTAAATATTTGCAGGGGAGGGAGGATAATGGAAGTCTGGTGTCATTTTGCCCCTCTGTGTCTGACCATTTAATCTTACACAGGAGGTGACCAGACTACATGGGACTCTCTGACCTGACCCAGCCACATAGGTAATGGCAGTGTATAAAGGGAACCGCTTCAGATGACCAGCCAGCTGCTATCTTCCCTGCATGTGTCACTGACACAGCAGCCAAATTTATCTACTCGTTGACCAATCATGCTGCTAGTGAGTGAATAAACAGAATACTCATATTCCCCAAATGCCAAAAAATGTTACTTCTGCTAAACTAGGTTTTACATAAATTCTCTTGGAGCTTGGTCTTACCCTATTGTTCAAATCAGAGAACATGTTTTGGGTCATAGTGAGGATAATTGCTAACACTTACATGCTCGAATACTGTGCTTACTACTGAACTTGCTTTACCTTGTTTCACAGTAACCCTAGGAGGCTGGTACTGTAACAGGCCCTGTTGTGCAGAAGAGGAAATTAATTCTCAAACAGGTTGGGAACATCGCCCAAGATGGCTCCACTAATGAGGGGCAGAGTATTCAAATTCAGTCCTGGGAAGATTTAGGATTGAACTAGTGACCTCCACCATCCCTTCAGTCTGACAGTCCATGGATCTAAGATGCCCTGGTTCACCAATGAATAGGCAAGTCTTGAGGCTTGACAATAGGATTAACTGATCAAGTCACAAACTAATAATCAACAGAATAAACCTAGTCCCCATTGTCTCCCCAGGTGCTTCCAGACTCTTGGTAACGTCTATACTCTCAAGCTCAGACCAGTGGACCCAACCTTAGATTTTGCTAAGGCCTGCTACAGCAGAGTACAAATACAGGTACTGGATTTACAGCTATTAAGTCCTTAACACCTGTTATGGTTTACACCTGGATGTCCCCTAAGAGCCTCCTGGGCTCTGAGGCAGGGCTTTTGGAGGAGGATTGGGCCATGGGGGTGCTATAGCTGATTTGCTGTTAGGAGGTGGGGCCCGGTTGGGAGTAGCGGGTCACTGGGGGTGGGACCTGAAAGGGTATAGCTCCCTCTCCTACTTCTCCTTTCCTCTCTGCTTCCTGGCTACCATAATGTGATCAGCTTTCCTCACCTAAGGTTCTCCCACCATGCCACTTCTGTATTTAAGCTATGGACTGAAACTTTTAAATTGGGAGCCAAAACAAACTTTTCCTCCTTTTGTCCCAGCAATGGAGAAAGTGGCTAAGACAACACCTGAGGATATTGCATATGGTTAATATTTTTATTCATTTAATTGGACTGTTTTGAGCATCTGCTGAAGATAGTGAACAGAAGAATGAATATAGTCTCCTGGAACTCGCCTTTTAATGGTGGGGAGTTGGAGGAGCAGGGCACAACAAGCCTGGAGCACCTTCAAACACCCCATTAAGTTAAATAATGATTTACTAGTACTTCTGTGCCAGGTTCTGTGCTTGGCACTGCAGATACAAAAAAGATCCTATTCTCTCTTAGTCAGCTGTGTCCCGGGAGCGGAATGTAAACAGATCTACTGGTGTTTGGTAAGGCGTCTTTCTGTTAAGTGCAGTGTTCTGTTGGACCAATCTTCCTATGAAAGGCAGGAGCACAACGCACATACACATTTGCCAAGAAGGGTTCATCTCTCAGCTGTGTGAAAAGAAAAAATTATGGCAATTTAACCTGAAGATCTTAGCTGGTTTTTCTTTAGGGTTCTAAAGGTGAACAACCACTGTTCTGCCCAGAAGCAATGCTAGACCAACCGGTTTATGGACAGATCGTCGAGGTAAAAGTTCCTTTCCTGGTGAAGGCGAGCAGTCAGAAGAGACATCCTGGTCCTGCCGTCTGCACCTGCTCATCTGGGATAGAGTTCGGCCTGGGAACACGCGAGACCCTAGTCCCTCGAGCACCTTAGGGAATGCGGGGAGTGACAGTGACTTCGGCTTGCCCACTGGCAAGGGCTTTTAGGGATTCATTGGGTTCCAAGCCCCTGAAGGGAACCCAACCTAGAGTTAAGAACGGGGCTTGGTGCGATACAGGACACGTCCTTCCTGCTGACTGATTCAGCCTTGCTGTGGCACCTGTCTCCAGGTAGTACGTGAGTCCAACCAATCGGAAAGGGAGTTACATCCGATGCCAGCTGCGACATCCAATAGCAGGAGGCGTCTCAGACTCGACCCCACAGGTTCTAGCCCGCGGCGCCCGGCGGCTGCGCGTAGTAGAGGCGCCTTCGGCACCTCAGGTCCCGGGGAGGTAGTGACCGCGGCGCGGGTGTGGCGACTGCGCAGGCGCCGCCGGAGGAGCCGTCCTTTCCCGTGCAAGGGTCTCCAGCGCCTCCGGGCACCCGCAAGCGCCGGGTTCCGCGCGCTGAGAACTGGCCCCGGAGAGTGGGCGCCTCGCGCAGGCGCAGTCGTTTCAGAGGGAAGGTCATCGCCCCCCCCCCCCCCCCCGCCGTCCACGGGGGTTTTACGGAAACAGATGGTGAGGCCCGGGCCCAGTCCTGCAGGGTACCCGCGTCCCCGGGGCGCCGGTGGTCACGTCCGGGGGGCACCCGGAGGGGAGGAGAGGTGGACGCGTGCGGGGGTCGGAGGTTACGGGATCTGGGCGGCCCGCGGGGGGAGTGGAGGCGGGAACGGTGGCCCAGACCTTGGGTTGCGACGACTCTCCTGGCTCCCGGTCCCTGCTGCACCTGCCTGAGTAGCAGAGCTTAGGTTAATAAGTATATGTGATTCGATAATATATGTAAAACTGGTTTTCTAGAACGCCAGTAGGCCAGATAGTGAGATACCGTTTAAGTGCTTTTTATGGCCGGATACTGGGTTAAGTCCTGAACAAACAACGCTTCCTTCCCTAGTCCTAACAATGCTGTAAACTGATAGCGTCCTGTTTGGGGCAGGGAAACTCAGGGACCTGTTGGAGATTGTGTCCAGGATTGTGCAGGGCGATAGACAGGTGCGTGCAGGTCACCAGGCCCAGCTCCGGCTTTGCTGAGCCCTTAGGCGACTTGGGAGACCCAGGTCCTGCAGAAAATCAACTGCTGGTTTTAGTACTGTGGTTCTCTTGTCTTCTTTTTTTCTGGATTGCTTCAATGTGTTTTTAAGGAAACTAAGAGCTTGCAAGTTCTCCTATTTGTTCCTTCCCTCTTCTTTAGTTACAAAATAAAATTTGCAAGAATTTCTGATGAAAACACAAGGATATTGTGGAGGAGGGGTATTTTACTATGTAGAAAGTCAAGTAAGTGTAATTGTTTTGAAGGTGCCAGAAAATTTTGTGTAGACCAGAAAACTGGAGAATAATTCAGAATCCTAGAATTTTAAAAATGAGAATAGTTTTTCAGGGAGTGGTTATAATTTTCCCTTAGACTGTTAAAAACAGCCGAGCATAATCTTAGAGCAAAGTTGTCTTTATGTACAATGTTATTTTAAAGCCATTTAGGAGCTTCATTGTATTACAGAGCAGATGACATGCTAATAGTGACAAATGTCTTTCACCATATCCTTTCTGGACTTCACATGGGCTGTGAATGTCAGTGAGAGTTGATGGACATGCCTTCTATCCGGGCAACAAAGTCATTCCAGAGGAGGTAGAGGGTGTTTTCACCCCTGAATTGGAGGGAGACACATTGTACTTCAGTTGCTGCTGGCATGGGCAGTTCTTTTCTTCCCTGTGCTATATGTTTTTGGTGTGAAATATTGCAGAATTTCTCCTGATAATTTTAACAGTTTCATTCCTTAAAGCTTGATTTTCATTCTTTAAAAGTACTTGAGAATTTTTTCACTGGTTGTTTGTTTATAGCTCACCACTTGCTGTTAGAATGAAACAGAATGTGGTAGTGTTAGATCCAGGCACTGATAATGAAAGAGGAAGACATTCTGGCAAGTGGAGCTCTGTTACTAGTTTGGGGATTATTACGTGCTTTACTGAGGTCATGCAATTAGTAAGAGCTGATTACTTTCTGAGCTCAACCAATCACTAGAATTCAGCTTCACCATATGTAAAAGGAGATTAGACTAAATTATTCATAATTTATTTTAGTTTCACAATACTATTCTTCTGCCTGTCATGGTACAGACTCCCCCCCCCTCCCCAGAACAGCAGCTCTGTAGCTAGAGTGAAAAGGGCAAACTGATTTTGAGAGCCTGTTCTGCAATCTTTGTGAGTCCCCATTTTAGGCTCAAGGAAACTGAAGCTGGAGAAAATAGCACTGACCAAGGTCACCTGTCCAGTAAGTGTGAGCACACTTCCGGAACACTGCTGGCTTCAGTCTTTCATCTTTCCGCTTTGTCCATGCTGTGAGCCTGAAGACAGGCACGGTATACTTGGATCCAGGCAGTGTGCTAGGAGATTACTCAATTTTAGGATTAACAGTGTGTGTCCCTTGAGGACCCCTTTTACTCAAGGTTTGGGAAAGAGATTTGGATTTGGATTTTGTGGGAAAAGGCCAAAGACAGGTTGAGGTTTTTTTATGGTGGTATTTTGCATATGTAAAGTGATATAAGATATTTTCACATTAAAAGACTTGGGATACAAAATTCATATGACTTTGAGGTATAATGAGATGACAGAGATGTTTCCTCTTTTGTGGTAGGGGATTTAAGATTACAATTTCACTTCTGCTTTTTAAAAAATAATAGTTTTATTGAGGTATAAGTCATATGTCATTTAGTTCACTGAAATGTATGGCTTTATGGAGTTGTATAACCATTACCACAGTCAATTTGAAAACATTTTTATCACTCCCAAAAGAACCACACACCCTTTGGCATTTACTTTTCCTAACATCTAGCCCTAGATAACTCATATACTTTCTGTCTCTATAGATTTGGCCATTCTAGGCATTTCAGCTAAATGGAATCATACGTAAGTGACCTTTTGTAACTGCCTCTTTCACTTAGCATAAAGTTCCAAGGTTTATCCAGGTTGTAGCGCATTATTAGTGCCTTATTCCTTTTTACTGCCAAATATCTCATTTTATCGCTATGCCACATTTTGTTTAATCATTTATTAGTTGTGGACATTTGATTTGTTTATTAGTTTTGGACTGCTAATCCTGCTTTGAATATTTGTGTACAAGTTTTTGTACAGATACATGTTTTTATTTTTCATGGGCATGTATCTGTTGATAGAATTGCTGAGACTTATAATAATTCTATATTTAACCTTTTGAAGAGCCTCCTGAATGATTTTTGAAGTGGCTGTACCATTTTACATTCCCACTAGCAGTTTATAAAAGTTGCAATTTCTCCATATACTCTCCAACACTTACTGTTAATGGTTTTTTACATTTACTCATTCTAGTAAGTATGAGGTAGTATTTCCTTGTGGGTTTTGATTTGGATGTCTTTAATGATGTTGAGCATCCATTTATGTACTTGTCATCTGTATTGTCTGTAAGAAATCTCTTTTTAGATCTTTTACTTATTTTTAAATTTGAGTATTTGACTTTCTATTACTTAGTTAATAATAGTTCTCTATATATTCTACATACAGTTCCATCATCAGATAATTTGCAGTATTTTCTTCTAATTATTGAATTATCTTTCTACTTGATGAAATTCTTTGAGGCACAAAACTTTTAAAAATGAAATCCAATTCATTTCTTTCTCTTTTCTTTTTACTCACTTGTGGTTTTGATGTGGTATCTATAAGAAGGTTTTGTCTAATCCAAGGTTATGAAGAGTTGATCCTGTCTTTTCCTCTAAGAGCTTTATAGCTATCACTCTTAACTTAGGTCTGTGGTCAATTTTGAGCTAATTCTTGCACCATGGGTTGAATTGTCTCGGCATCCCTCAGATCGTAAAGGTTACTTTATTGGAAAAACATCCTGTGATGTCACATTTGTAATAATTCTTCTAAGGGTTTAGTTTCAACAAAAAGTCAGTACAGTGTATGAATCTCCAGGACCATGTTACAAAGAAGCCTTGATGCTGTCGAACAAAGTTGATTGAAGTGTAAAGCTGGTCTTTGCCTTGCCTGATTCATTACTTCGATCATTTATGCCATGTTTTGAGTGTTAGATATTTGTGTACAGCATTTTTCTTCTGATACATGACATGTGCATATATTTTTGTGTTATGGATTTAGTTATGTTAGATATTTGTTGAATACTTTTTTTTAAAATGACCTAAAAGTGTCTGAGTAAGACTTCATGTTTAGAAAATAAATTTTAGGGTGTTCTAGAAACACAAACTAGTATGGAAGAGCTGTGACCCGTAGGTTACCAAGACTAATGATAATTATCTTACGTGTCATGGTGACAGTGAGGAATGGTGAATGAAAGTGAAGGCTGGCAATTATTTCTGTACCTCTCACAGTAGCTTGCAAGCAGGTTGGATCTGAGGACTGGCAGGGCTCAAATGCTAGACTGAGGTATCTGGACTTTTTGTATAGGAAGGGGTTCCTTTGAACTTTTTTAATTTAGTTTTTAGGGAAGTGTCCTGACAGAGCTGTGCTGAGGAAGATTAAGTTGGCAGCAGATGCTGGGTAAGAGAGGGGAAGGCGACCAAGATAGGAGAGCAAGTAAAGAGACGCAGGGCCCTGGCCAGAGCTGCTGAGGACCCAAGGAGCACATGGAGGCCAGAGGGGGAGTGGTGGCTGTTGGGGGAGTGGTGGCTGTTGGGAGTGCAGTGTCCTGGACTGCACTGCGGACCACTGCATCGGAGGCTCCAGGGTGTAGAGACCCATGGCTCTGCTGTGACCCAGCTTCTCCAGTGACTCTTGTGTGTCCCGTGCTGTTAGAAGACAGGAGGCAAGGTGGCTAGACTGGCAGCTGATGGTGAACTCGGGAGATCTCCATGTGCCCGAGAGAATGGGAAGCTGTTTTAAAGGATCAGAGAACTGAGGCAAGGGAAAGATTTGTGAGCCTGAATGACGTACTCATTCTGACATACATCCAGTGGGATTTGGCAGCAGAGTGGTTTTTGCAGCGGGATTGTGTGGGAATGTAGAATGGTTACTGAGGTGAAGAGCTAGGCAAGTAAATAAGGTTTTTAAAAATAAATTTGTAACTGTTTTTTCCTCTTGAAAAGATACTGTGTGTCACCTCTTTGCTGTTTTAAACTTACCCTGTTAATGGAAGCAAATATTTGGGTGTGAGGAAGTGGCTGTATTCAGAAGCACAGAGTTAAATTCCCAGCCCTTTTTATTTTTGTTTTGAGATAGGATCTTGCTGATCTGCCTTGCCTGGTCTCTGATTTTCAATCCTTCCTGCCTCAGCCTCCCAAGTGTCTGAGATTACCACACCCAGCTCACTTCAAGCTTTCCTGGAGACCTGCCTGCATTTGACCGAAGTTCTAAAATCAGCCCACATAATACTGGCTTCTAACTGAGGCAGGAGTTAAGTTGTGCATAAACACTGTGCCGCAGAACTCTCGACGCTGAATGGAAGGGAAGTAGCCCTGTCTGGATTCTGATAGCTGGAATTGTTGAGCTGTGGCGTGGCTGTGTGCATGTGAGCTATCTTTTTATTACTTGTGGTTTATTGGATGGCACCAATGACAGATGTTCTACGCCCCACACTCAGAAAGCTGCTGTGTCCCTTTAAAATGATAGGTTTTCCAATCCCAAAGAGCCTCACAAATTCTGGTCTTTGATCTTCAGAACTTTAAGTCACTGTTTTTCAAAGGGATCACAGCTTCACTCCATAAGTATCTGAATGACCACCACACCACAGATCAAAAGAAAGTCTCTGCCTTCAAGCAGTTGTGATGCAGTTGGGAGAAAGAAGAATCCACAGTACGTGGCTGGTGAGCATCTTTATCCAGTTGGCTGGTGGCCAGCTGCTGGTACCTCTGGGCCTCGCCAGGGTCTTCTCACTGCAGTCATGACCCCCACACCTCAGTCTGACCACAGCCTTTGCAACTTTGCCGGGCAGTGACGCATCACACATCTGTTCTCTGACTCCCTCAGAACCTGCGGGCTTCTCCCACATCTACCAGTTCAGCCCCAGGGCTGCTGCTCTAGTCTCAGCTGCTCTCAAACCAGCGTCTTCAGCGTAGGCAGCCTTCCATTTTCGTCAGTGTTTGAAGCCTGGGTAGGGTCAGCTGCCTGCTCTGTGCACGTCTGTGCCAGGGCCACTTGGTCCATAGGAAGAACAGTGTCGCTAATGAAAACCCCTGGCACCTGCTCTCAGCATGGCCCGCCAGTGCTCCTGCATCCACATCCTCCCTTCCATCCCCACACTGACTGTTCCTGGTGTTCTCTGCTCTGCAGACCTCTGACCCTTCTACCACCCTGCTCGCTTTCAGTAACGGACCCAGAGAATGTGGTGCCCCCAGCCCCAGCCTCAAACCTGTCAGCTGACCTAGCCTTCCTCCTCCTCTTCTGTAACAATGGAGGGGGCACTTGGGCCTTCCAGAGCACAGCATTCCACCTAAACCATACATCATTTTTTTGTTCTTTCTTTTTTGTGGTACTGGAATCGAACCTAAGGTCTCATGCGTGATAGGCAACCACTCCACATTTGAACTGAACCCCCTGGACCTTTTTAGTTTATTTTGGGACAGGGTCTGGTCATGTTGCTCAGGTTGGCTTTGAGCTTGTGATCCTCCTGCCTCAGCCTCTTGAGGAGCTGGGATTGAAGGTGTGCTCGCCTGCTCCTGGCTGTGTATCCTGTTTTCCTAGAGACCAAAGAAGATGGAGTGTGATGTCAGGGATATCTCTTAGGTGAAAGTGGCTTTGTAATCCATGAATAGTTTTGAAAAGGAACAAACAATTTGCAAACACCTCTGAACCTGGATTATTAAGAACAGTTAAGTCTTTGACAGTAAAATGGCAATTTGAGAAGGATCAGACGATGACATTTATTTAACAGCTGTCACATTTCTTCAGAAGTCACTGTGGCATCCATGTTCCTGCAGACTTGCTGGTCACTGTCACCTGAATACTGGGCCAGGTGGAGACTGAGTTGAGACCTTTTTCTCAAACAGCTCCTTCCTTCCTTCTCTCCCTCCTCTCTCCTTTTTGTTTTCTCTTTCTTTCCTGCTTGCTTGCTTTTCTCTCTCTCTCTCTGTCTTTCCCTCCCTCCCTTCTTTGTCTCTCTCTCTCTCTTTCTTTTCTTTTTTTTTTTTTTTTGTGGTATTGGGGCCTGAATCCAGGGCCTTCTCGCAGAGCTACATTCCCAGTACTTCCATATTTCATTTTTACTTTGAATTTGCCCAGGCTGGGCTTGAGCTTGCAATTGCCCTGCCTCACTCAGCCTCACAGTGCACTGACCTTACAGGCACGTGCCCTTATACTCCACTGCATTTATTTCTTATCCCTCTTTTCTGCCAGTGGTTTTCCACAAGGACGGCCGTTGAGCCAATGTGGTTGGATTTCCACCAACTATTTCTGTGAGTAAAGGAACTGTAGGGCACTATTCGGTAAATTAGAAAAATCGTGTCTCCCTGGAGCGTCTGAAAACTTGTGTTATTTGTATTTGTACAGAAGAATCTGTTTGTTTCTTCATTTGTTCTGTATTGAAGGAAGAATTTCTGCTGGTATGGACAAGCGAGGCAGCCAAGTAAGAGGAGTATTTGGGGGCAGGGAATGGCCTTCTCCCCTTCAGAATGTGAGGAATGTGTCAGAAGGAAATTGGGCCAGTACACAGGCAATTAGTATTTACTCCAACTTTAGCTTATTTAAATGACATTTAATTTTAAGTTACTGTAGATCATGCTGGCATATAAAGGTTATGAATGTCAATATTCTTCCTCTGTTGGCTGCATCTCTGAAACTTAACACGCATCCAACAGCGTGACGACTTAATGGCTTGTGTCTCCCATCTAGGAGCCCTGATCTTTGCCCCCGGCACGCTCACGATGACGTTCCTAGCGCTGCTCATGTTTTCCAGCCTGGTGACTGGCTGTGGAGGGAACTCTTCCTATAGCTGGCCACCCAGGTTGCTGCTGGTATCCTTTGACGGCTTCAGAGCTGACTATCTGCAGAACTATGAATTCCCTCACCTCCAGAATTTTATTAAAGAAGGTGTCTTGGTAGAACATGTTAAAAATGTTTTCATCACGAAAACATTCCCAAACCACTACAGCATCGTGACAGGCTTGTATGGGGAAAGCCACGGCATCGTAGCCAATTCCATGTATGATACGGTCACAAAGAAACATTTTTCTGACTCCAATGACAAGGATCCTTTCTGGTGGAATGAGGCGGTCCCGATCTGGGTGACAAACCAGCTTCAGGAGAACAGGTCGAGCGCTGCTGCTATGTGGCCTGGCACGGACGTCCTCATTCACAATGCCACCCCTTCCCATTTTATGGATTACAGCCCCTCGGTGACGTTCAGGGAGAGGCTAAACAACATCACCGAGTGGCTCAGTGCTTCCAACCCACCGGTCACCTTTGCCACACTCTACTGGGAGGAACCAGATGCAAGTGGCCACAAATATGGACCTGAGGATAAAGAAAATATGCGCCGGGTGTTGAAGGAAATCGACGATCACATTGGGGACCTGGTCCAGAAACTCAAAGTGTTGGGATTATGGGAAAGTCTCAATGTGATCATTACAAGTGACCACGGGATGGCCCAGTGTTCTGAGAGCAGACTGATAAACTTGGATCTCTGTGTTGATCCTTCAGACTACAGCGTCATAGACTTGAGCCCCGTGGCTGCAATACTTCCCAAAATAAGTAAGTGGATTGTTCCCTGAGCGACACTGTGGTCCGAGTAAGGCAGTGACTGAGGAGGGAGTGTGCATGGAAGAATGGTGCTCTGGCTCCTTGCAGCCTGGGACCCATACTCCTGCACACTTTGTGTGCTCTCGCTGGATGTACAAGCTGTGAGCAGCTGGCGTCTGGATTAGGTTCGGTGATTCTTCCTCTGCGTTTTGGTGTATTTCTTGATTATTCATCCTAAGGGAAGAAGGAAATTTTTGTCCTTAACATGTTCATGACGGGGCTGTAATTCATATGCCTTGCTGCTGGGTGACTCTATTTTCAATGTGTTATGTTCTTGCTAGCTTGAACCCCCAGAAGTACATGTATGATTAGATCCTCCTGTGCCACTGCTGTTCCTGCCACTCGATGGGACATTCATGCCTGTCCCACTCATGGTTCAAGCCAGCGGGAGCGTGTTAAAGAAATCTTTGTTTTAGGGTAAAACATACCTTTCTTTACAATTAGTAATGGGTAGTAATACATAATTAGTTTCTGTTTACTTAAAAGCTCAATATGAAAATAGTATCCATTCGGTAAAAGTGATGAGGTGTGTGATGTACATGTGTGTGTCTCTATCCCCAACACAGTCACATAATCACATAATTATTCTGGTTTTTTAAGAATTAAAAGTGATTTAATAGATGATATTGTCCAAAATTTATTTTTAGTTAAACATATTTTTCCTTATCAGTCAACTATGACTTTTCTTTTTTATAGATATAACAGAAGTTTATGACAAATTGAAAAATTGTAGCTCTCACATGAATGTTTATCTCAAAGAAGATATTCCTAACAGATTTTATTACCAACATAATGATCGAATCCAGCCTATTATTTTGGTTGCTGATGAGGGATGGACAATTGTACAAAATAAATCATTATCAAAATGTAAGTATTTAGGGTATTTCTGTTGTATCCTAGGGATCCACCACACATTGTTTTGTTAGGGTAATTTGATTTAGATATGTTTGCACAGGATTATTGGTTACCATTATTAGTATTTGATAGCAATCTATGGTAACCACAATAACACCCTTAGATTATAAGGATGGGTAACCTTAAAGGTATAGTTTTACCTCCTCACCAAAACTATGGTTACTGTCAGTAATTTTCAAGATCACTTCTCTTAATTTGTAAAAATAAAGGGGAAGTAAAGAAATAAAGCTAACAAGGGAGATTAGCTACTTCAAAATCCTTATCTGGTGTGTGTTAAAATTTTTTCTGTAATCCCAAATCTTTCCCCAGTGAGAAAATCATTTCCTTAATTTCCTCTATTTAGATCTGTATTTCCTATATTTAGACCACTGAGCAAGAACCAGAAAGTAAATTTTAAAAATCCACTGGTAAATAAAATAGACCTATCAACATTTCCCCAAAAACAGAAATGTACAGGGATGAACTGTAGGTCTTCCTCCAAGGAAGCTAAGTTTTCTAAATTTACATTCACTTTTAATACTTTCAGTCTGATTTCGTAGTTCATAGCAGGGGTCAGCACACTTTTCTGGAAGGGCCAGATAGTAAATACTTTAGATTTTTGTGGGCCAGCTGGTATCTGAGCTGGTTAGCTGTGCTTCCATGGCCTGTATATGAGTTGAGGTGGTCTGCTCCCTGGACACTGACTTACAGGAACAGTCAGAGGGCCAGACTTGGCCATGGGCTAAAGTTTGCAGACCCTGCTACATCAGTCAAGGATAAGACAGACTCACAGTCATAGGAGTTGATATATTATTTATCTCTGTGTTATTTTATATAATCGGTGTTGCAAACCTGTACAATACAGAAAGAGAACAAAAGCATTCCATAATCCCTCACTACAGAGATAGACAAATATTGTGGGAGTTTCCTCCTCATTTTATTTCCATAATTTGTATATGCAAACTGTATTATTGAAATCATTATATTCTTCTTTTTGTCATATTGATCACGTTATTTTTATTATGAAATATTTCAAATACAATTAAAGAATAACACACCCCAATACATTTAACCCTACAGTTATCCTCACTTAATATGAAAGTGGAAGTTTATTAAATGCAACTGAAGTACACAAAAAGACAACATTTATTAAAATAAAGCTAAAAATCGGAACTCTGGTATTGGAGGTTCACCAGGGACCTGTTTATCCTGCTTTTCTCTGAGTCAGATCAAGTCCCAAGTTGGTGTCATATGCTTTCATTCCACATTCAATTCCAGAGCCTTTTATGTGGTGATCTCCTGAATCTGACCCCCTGGGGTTGAGGTGCTTATTGACTGTCAGCCAGTGGTGCATTCTGCTGTCTGGTTAGTGCAGGAGCACTGGAGATAAGGGAGGCTGGGTCTTCTCTCCCCAGGCATGCGGAACCCTCAGCCTCACTGCTCTTTCTGTCACCAGTGCTCAGCAGTGAGTTTTGCAGATGGTGGTAGAAGTCGGCAGGTGGAGTCAGTAGGGCTGGGGGTGAGAGGTGGGTGAATATGGATGAGGAGTAGAGTTAGCAATCTGAGTGATGTCCAACCCAGGGCAAGAGGGGTGCATGTGTAAGAGGAAACATGGCTAAACTGAAGGAAAGGCCGATTTTAACTCTGGCTCCTGTCTGGTGCAGCTAACCAGAATTGCAATGGACAGGAGTTAGGCTGGATTTTTAAAGCTATATACAGCTTATGAAGTGAATGTATTTATTCCAGAAGCAAGTTATTTTATAATAAGGCCAATCTTATTAATACCATTTTGTTCTTTTTTCAGTAGGTGACCATGGCTATGATAATTCTTTGCCTGCTATGCATCCATTTCTAGCTGCTCATGGTCCTGCCTTTCACAGAGGCTACAAGCAGAGCACCATAAACATCGTGGATATTTACCCAATGATGTGCCACATCCTAGGATTAAAAGCACAGCCCAATAACGGAACCCTGGGGCACACCAAGTGCTTACTAGTTGACCAGTGGTGCATTCATCTCCCAGAAGCCATTGGGATTGTCATCGGTTCGCTCTTGGTGCTGACCATATTCACGTGCCTCACAGTACTCATGCAGAAAAGACTTTCTGCACCCCGCCCATTTTCCCGGCTCCAGCTACAAGATGATGATGATGATCCTTTAATTGAGTAACGGGCAGGGGTTCCTACAGGGTCTGATTAATCCCAACACTAAGGATACATTCAAGGAATAGTGTTACAACCATGAAAAAGTATGCTTTGAAAGACACCTTAGACCAAGCATGCTGAAAGTATTTTGTGTTTCCTTGTGCTTTGTTTTGGGGCATTGCTAATACAAACAACCCTGACTATAGTAAAGTTGCTAGTAAATCAGTTAATACCATCTGTTTCTCTAAATAGCTTTTCCAGGGAAAAGTACCACCTTTTTTTTTTTTTTGCAGTGAAGATGATACATTTTAAAATGCAAATATACCAAAGTTTAGTAGGCATGTTTTTCTAATAAATTTATATATTTGTAAATGAAGCAATTTGTGAATTTTGTGTATCAGAGAGGAAAAGTTTTCTATATTTTTATAGTTTCCTTTAACACATTCACAATGGCACCATAATTCATATAATTCATATGTCTCACTGCTGGGTGGCTCAGAACCACTGTGGTTTGTGCCTGAATGTCCCTTGAGCCACATGGGACAGTCCCACTGGGTAGTACAAGCTGCCCCGTGGGGCAGTTGTGCATGTACCATTGATGGTTCAAGCTGGCTGGAACGTGTTAGTTTTTATCCCAAGTAAATCTTAGAGGTGGGAAATTCTGTGATGGTTAATAAAATTGGTTAGCCAGCCCCTTGCCCCAAATCCTGCATATGAAGAAACCATTTTAAGAAAAGATGAACAAAACCATGAGGACCATGTGATACAAAGCCTCAGTTGCCACCACTATATCTTTAAGATGCTTAAGCCTTTGAAGCCTCCAAAGTTGAATCTTCTGGAGATTATTGCTAATAAGAAAATCAGAAGAGAGAAAATACTTTTCTGTTTGTGTTGAATGCCTTTGGGTGGTGTGTGCGCATGTGTATGCGGGTGTGCCTGTGTGTGCTTGTGCTTGGCTGCGTGTATCCATGCAGATGTTCTGTGACTTACTGTAGGAGGCCCCAGGGGACTCCACTGTGGTCAGGCGTCCAGTCCCCTAGAACACAGCTCTCAGGAATGGTTATTTTTGCACTGTGTATTTATTTACTTTTACCTAACTCACAAAGTCATACTTTTAAACTCATTAATTTTTGTTATCATTTCTAGCTTTCTCATGTTGTTTATTGTAACCTGAAGTATCCAAGTGTGGTAGAAAACGTGGGACCTGAATACAAACCTGATTTTGGTTGTATCAGAATGATGAAGAGAGATTTCTATATTTACGTTTGGGACGTTATATCTTACTTTTGAGACAGTAGAGTAGCAAAGAAATCTAAAGTGAAATTTAGTGTCTTCGGATCTTGGGACCGTCCATATGTTAAGTGGTGGACTAGCCTTATGCTGGCTGGCTATCTGGATCACAAACTTGGTAACTTTTTCACATACAGAGCTAATCTGCAGTAAGTGTACAGCCCAGGTAGGTGTTGGTTATCTGTGGTGTCGGTCATCAAACACAGGACGTGTTCTAGGGGTCACTGCTAACTTCCTGAACCTGGCCTGTGGTGTCTGTTAAAACTGGGATCTTGGAGGGCCAGGGATTTAGCTCAGTGGTTTCACCGCCTGCTGTGTAAGCACAAGGTCCTGAGTTCGATCCCTGGTACCCCCCCCCCAAAAAGAAGAAGAATTAAAAAACTGGGATTTTGGGAGGTGTTTCTGTACCCCCCATAAAGAATCCATGTGTTTATGGATTTACCAGTAGGTCATAAACCCTAGGATATTAAGAACACTGGATTGCTTTTGGATATTTTCTGATTTTTGTCTTCACATACAGTAGTTATAATAAAGGTTAATAGTTTAAATGAAATAGAAAATTTCCTTTCTACTTCAGTTTCTATTTAAAAAATAACAACTGCTACATTTCAAGTCTTGTTTTTTTAAATGGTGGACATTTTCAAAATATCTAACAGTGGAATGTTTGACACTAGTTGGTTCTTTGGAATGGTTTCAGTGATGGTTTTGAGTTTTAGAAATCCGTTTACAAGGTTTCTAGCTGTGAGTGGATTTGGTGTGGAATGGAGTAAGCCAGATGTCCAGTCAGGGTCTTAACTCTTCTACGGGACTTTTACCTCATTATCTTTTCTTTCATTCTCAAAAGGATAAATTAGGTAAATTTTAAAGTATATTTTGATGAGATAAAATTAGTATTTGTTTAATCAGAGACATTTATATATCATTGTATTAAACATTGTACTAAGTCACTGATGTCTTTAAGAAAATTATCATTATGAAAGCCAATGACTCCTGTAGTGACTGAGAAAATTTTTTACTAAAACTAGTAGCTTCTGACCCAAGGCTCGGTGTGTATCTCATTAAGTGATTAACTCACATGCTGCTGTGTTTTCTGGGAATGGGAAGTATTTGGCTCCAACCAAGGGTTCACTGATCATGAACCCAGTACAGAGGTAATAGGAAAACTTGATGGAGTATTTTTTGTTAATTCAGTGGGTAAATTCAGAATAAATCTGTTTAATTGTAGGAATAATTGTGCTGCTGTTATTAATGTATAATAAGTTTTTCTGGCAAACAGCAATAGAATAAAAATACTTGAATGCCTTGTGCTCTACACTTTGTGGTATTATATGATTAGGCTTCCTTTAAGAATTCACAAATGAGTTGCTGAAACATTAAAAGATTAAAATGCCTTTACACTGTTGGTGTTTTCTTTCTTTGCCTGTGTCTTGTATACTTCAGGGAAGATTATGTTCAATTTTTATTTGTAGGGTTTTGCTACGTTGTTAAGATATAAGGTTACAAATGAAGGACAAAGATTAGATGTAAAGTATGTATTGTCAATTCTTAAAAATAAGTGTGGTTTAAAGAAATTCATAAGTAGTGCCTTAAAGAAAAATATATTTTGATGATATTGTTTGAGTTAATGACTTTACATTATGTGAATAAAATCTACCAAAACATTTTACTGTAATTATTTTGTATAAAGTCCACTGTCATCGGTGATTTTTAAATTTGTCACCTTTTGGCAAAATAGACATACTGTGATAGATGTGTTGTCAGAACTTTGGAAATTTTGCAAAAACCTTCATAAGCATTCATCACAGGTCTTTTTTAATATAGAACCTAAGATTAAGGGTATAACATTTAACCAAAATTTTAAAAGTGTATAAAATGTGGAGTCCAGCATGAGGCTGTCATTGGAAAGAAAGCCAAGGTAAATGTGCAGAGCCTCCAGAACTACAATTTATTGGCTTACAAAGAAGGGAAATTTTATAAGCTGTTTATAAAACAGAAGGAGTTATGGCATTTAAACTTTGTTTTGCATGTGGCTATCGGCCTTTAATGACTTACTCAATGATTAGAGTCAGTGAAGTTCCCTTCAGTGAGCAGTATTCATTCATTTGCTATTTTTACAAAATTCAGTGAACAATGGTAGGACCTGTGGGAAAACAGAACAATAAAAGTTGCATTTTTTACTCTGGAGAAGAGTCCGCTGAAAAGTGGAGAAACTTTATACCTGAAGATTTCTTGTTTCTGCTCATGGTTGCGCTCCTGCTGCAGAGACGCTGGTCTCCAGAACCCTTTCCAGGCCTGAGTCTCCTGCAGTCGGTGCCAGCCCTGTCTCTGAGCCACCTGTGCCCCTGTCACACGACGTGTGTGTGTGTGTGTGTGTGTAGATGATTGTGAGTGCTGAAACTGCCAGTCCTCTGACTCACATCCCATAGTCAGAGCTGCCTAGAAACTAAGCACAGTCTGTACCCACAGAGCAAGCCAAATGCTGTCCAGGCTGCTGCATTCCCGCGCCTTCTAATGCTTCGATGCCTGAAATCTAATTTCACATTAATATACTGAACCTGATGCTGACTTCCTCTGACAGCTCGGTGCTGATGAAAAAGGCACACACGTCTCGGGTATGTATCTCCCTCTGCAGGAGAAATCTGAATTACTAGTCACCTGATCACTCCCTTTCATACCCACCATGTTCAGCCTCACCACCATAGGCCAGAGCAACGTAAAGCATCCATAGGAATCGGCCCCAAGCAAATCACGATGACCACAAGCTACACGCGTGTTTTTGAAAAAGTTCCTGCAGGGCAGACCCAGTGCTGCTGCCTGGCTGCCACATTGTGGAATCGTGCACTGAAGAGGATGAATGACTTTCACAGAATCTTTGTGAAGCCCCCTCCCTGAACCACTTCTTGTTCCACTCTGAAAAGGAATGTAGGAAGGAAGTATACTTATGAACAAAAATCCTTAACAATGTATTATTTAATGGAACTCCGCAAGCATTCAGAAGGATAATGTGCGTAAGTGGGGTTTGTTATGACGGTGCAGCATGAGTTTGATCGCCGAAAAATCTGTTATCCTCTCTAACATAGAAAGGCATGTGGGAAAACAATACTTGTTTATCATTTAAACAGAGTGCAGACTCAGACTAGCAGGTAACTTCTTCAAGCTGTTAAGTAGCATACAGCAAAACAAAACAAAAGCACAGGTAATATCGCAGTAGATGGCAAAATAGTAAATGTTTTTCTCCTAAGGTCGGGAACAGAGCCAAGATGTCTATTCTTGGTGCTCAGATTTACCATTTGCAAAGGCCCAGTGTCCTAGCGAGTGCTGGCAGGGAAGAATGGGGTTGTCTGAGCCTGAATCCCATCTCTGCATCGTTGCCTAACCTGAGACAAGTCGCTTCACTTCTGATCTATAAAGCGGAGTAAAAGCAATATTAATTCACTTGGTTGTTGCAAGTCTTACTGGGTCGTTACATATAAGGCATTTGGAAGAGGGTTTGGGAAATTGCAAGTTCCCTATAATGTCAGTATTTGTCATTAAGCTTTTTACACTTAAAAGTGAGTCAGGAAACTTCTGTTTCCAACAATGGTAAAATAAAGGGTTGAATCAAAGCTACCATTAAACCAGGAGTTCTGAGCTAAATGTTTCCCCTACTTTTTAGGAAGATTAAAGATATTTAAAAATTAAGAAAATTTTGAGGTGATTTAGGTTTGCATGGGGTTCTAAGAAATAATAAGACATCCCTGGGTGCTCTGGTTACTTCCCATTTTGAAAATGGTAATTTCCTATCACAGCCAGATGCTGATATTGATATAACTCACCAGTACTCTTCATATTTTTCCCTTACCAGAAACCAGACTTGGACTTTGACCTCCCACTCTCCAGAACTGTGAGCAATAAATGTCTGTTTAAGCCATGCCGTATGCAGTTCTTTGTTACGGCATCTGGAGCTAATATTTTAAATATTTAATTTTAAATAGTTTAAATGCCTGAAGAATACTGTATATTTCCTGTTTATAATCTCCCTTTGTTTCTAAAGCATTGTCATCTCAGAAATGTTACATAAATGAGATTTTGCAGTCTTTAACTTTTTCTGCGTTGGTTTTTCCATTCAGTGTAGTTCACCCACATTTTTATACATAAGCTGCTCTTCTTCACTGCTCATTTTCCATGGTGTGTTTGTGAAACCGTCCAACAAATTGAAGGATATCTGATTCTAGTGTTTGATTATTCCACATAGAGCCACTATGAACATTGTGTTCAGGTTTTCTTGTGAATGCGAGTTTTCATTTCTTTGGGATGGAAATGCCCAATAGCAGAAATGCTGGGACACATTTGGTTTTTTGTTTTGTTTTGTATTTGTTTGTGCACATGAGTTTATGCTACTGGGGATTGAACCCAGAGCCTTTGAACTGAGAAACATCCTCAGGCCTTTTTTATTAGTACATGTAATGATTTTTTTAAAACCTGTATGATTGTCTCGATTTCATTTCCCATATTTTTATTGTCTTATTTTTGTCACACGCTAAAGTTTTTTTTTAGTTTACTTTATTAGTACACGTGTGTGGTGCATAATCTTGACATTCCCTGTGTGGAGCTGGTACATGTACATAACATGTCCCAATTCCTTTTTCATTCCCTTCCCTCCTTTTTTTCTCCTCCTTCCCATTCATCCATCTCTCAATCCCCTCTCCCTTTTAGAAATGTCTACCTCCATACTTATTATCATCTACCTCTTATTTTGCTCATTATTTTTATTCTGGTTTTCTCATATGAGAGAAACCATGTGATATTTAAGCTTGTGTGTCTGATTTATTTCACTTAACATTATGGTCTCAAGGTGCATCCATTTCCCTACAAATGACTCAAGTTTATCCTTCTTTATGGCAGAGTAGTACTCCAATGTGTATACCACATTTTCTTTATCCGTTCATCTGTTGATGGGCATATAGGCTGCTTCCAAGATTTAGCTATTATGAATTGTGCTGCTATAAACGTGTACGCATGGATCACTGTAATATGATGCTTTTACTTCTTTCAAGAAGATACCTAGAAGTGGAATGGTTGGGTCAAATGGAATTTCTAGGTTTAGTTTTTTGAGAAGTCTCGATACTGATTTCCATAGTGGTTGTCCTTACTAGTTTACATTCCCACCAATACTGTAAAAGTGTTCCTTTTTCTTCACAGCCTCTCCAGGATTTGTTATTGATTTCTTGATGATGGGTGTTCTTTATGGTGTAAGATGGTATCTCATTGTGGTTTTAATTTGCATTTCTCTAATGGCCAGTGATATTGAGCATTTCTCCATGTATTTATTGGCCATTTGTACTATTTCTGTGAAGTTTCTATTCATTTCAGTTGTCCATTTCTTGATTAAGTCTTTTTGGGGGGGTGTCTAATTTTTTGAGTTCTTTATATATTTTAGATATGAGTCCTCTGAGGAATTGCTGACAAATATTTTTCCCATTCTGTAGATTGTCTTTTCACTCTGTTGGTTGCTTCTTTTGTTGTGCAGAAGCCTTTTAATTTGATATGATCCCATTTGTTGATTCTTAGAAAGTCCTTGCCTATGCCTGTGACTTCAAGAATCTTACCTATTTTGTCTCCCAGCATGTTAAGTGTATGTGGTTTAGATCTCTGATCCATTTTGATGTTAGTTTAGTGCACAGTAAGATCTAGGGACCAGATTTAATCTTCTACATGAGGGTACATGTTAAAGTTTTATTGGGTTTACTGCCTTTTTTCAAAGAAGTTGGTATTTATTTCACTGACATTCTCTATTGTTTTCCTATTTTCAACTTCATTAACTTCTGTTTTCATCTTTATTATTTACTTCCTTTTCCTTCATTGGGTCTATTTTGTTCTATTTTTTCCAGTTCCTTGAGGTATGATTAAGGTTGTTGGTCTGAGGCCTTTCCTCATTTCTAATGTAATCCTTTACTGCTTCAAACTTCCCTTCCCATGCTGCTTTAGCTTCATCCCATATTTTGTATTCATTTTCATTAAGTTCTCTCTGTCTCTCTCTCTATATAGATATATATATCTATATATATAGATATATAGAGAGATATATATAGATATGTATCTATAGATATATATCTATAGATATATATCTAGATATATATAGATATGTATCTATAGATATATAGATATGTATCTATATAGAGAGAGATATATATCCCCCCCGCCCATTACCGGGGATCCAACTCAGGAACTTCTGCTTTCCAGGCAGGTGTGGGGCCACTGAGCTAAATCCCTGGCCCAAGTCCTATATATTCTTAAGCTTTCTGTTGAGAATTTTTCTTTGATCCATGATTATTTAGAAATGTGTTGCTTAATTTCCAGGTATTCAGAGATTTTTCCTGCTGTCTTTCTATTCTTGATTTCTAGTGTGATTTCACTG